ATATTTTTTTTTTTAAATAAACTGGTTTGGTTTGGTTTTTTTTTTCTCCCCGGGCTTACCCTGGTTACAACCATTCACTTATTAACCACACAAACTTTCAGCATTGTAGTTGTTCTGTGGAATGAAAATTAAAATGAATGTTAAAAACATCCTCCCATCCTCTGAAGTTATCTTGCTAGGGTCACACTGTATATAATTGTGTGTGTGCCTTAATTTGAAATTAACTTTCTTGAGTAGTAATAAGCTTTATATAAAAGAACTTTCTTTCATTGTCATCATGAGCATCTGATAAGTCTGAGCCTTTACAAGATCCTTTGTGCCACATTTATCACCTGGGGCTGGTGAAATCCATGTCCCAGGGGTTAGGAATTTGTCTTAAGAGAACAGGGAACAAAATTTGAGAGCTCTTAGCTCACGTTCTATCCTTGCAGTTAGTTTTTTTTTACTGTGACAGCTCTAGCGGGAGGTGAAGCTCATACTGAACCTGTTTCTTTGATAGCTTACAAATCTCTGTCCTACTCATCACAGAGAACACGTGTTCAGTGTAACTACTTGGAAGTTTGTGTCACCCAAAATCTTACAGATCATCCAGCCCCAACCCCTGCTCTGGGCAGGGACATCTCACCAGATCCGGTTGCTCAAGGCTCATCCAGCCTGGAACACCTCCAGGGTCAGGGCAGCCACAGCCTCCCTGGGCAACGTGTTCTGCCCAGCTGTTGGATTCACTAAAGGTTGGTAAATGTTGGGGTGTTTGTTCCCAAGTGACTGTTTCTCTCTGTTGTGCTGCAGGTTGGGAGCAGCTGAAGGCCCTGGTGGTGTAGAATGCTTCGCCATGGCCTAGGGAAGACCTTTCGCTTCCTGGGGTACACTGTGCAGTATGGCTGCATAGCACACTGTGCCTTCGAGTACCTTGGAGGAGTTGTGGTGGTAACTCTGCATTTTCAGCACATTTCAAAGAAAATAAAACTGTGACCCCAAAGTTGTTGCATGGGATAATGTCAGTACTTCAGTTGTCTTGATTTTAGCTTAGTAAATGCCTATTTTTGGGGGTCAGGAGATCCAGCCTTTATGATAAGTTATTTCTACTTTAGGCATTCATATTTTTGGATGCCTTATTGCTTGGGGCAGCACTGAAGTAAAGGGGAAACTGATCAAGCATTGTGCACAGAGTAAGTCCTTTAAGAAGGACTGGAGACTCCAATGCTCGTGTCCAACTCTGGCCAAACTCCTGAGTGGTTTATGCTCCTCCAGCTCCTCCCCAGGCTCTAAGCTAGCAGATCCTGCTGTGGGATGTGGGGGAGTTTGTCTGTGAGCTGCTCTTGCAGCTTCTGTGATGGTTCTGTTTGCCAGAGGCTGAAGAAAGGAGTGAGCTGGCAGAGCTTTGAGTGCTGCTCCTAACAATTCCAGCAGATTAGGTGCTGCAAGGAATCTATGGGGGCCCAGAGCACCCAGCACAGCTCAGGACCAATCCCGAGCAGATCTGGAGCTTTAACAGAGTTAGAGGAGCTCTGGAGACTGATCTGACTTTTAAAATATATCACATTCCTCAGAGGATCTCACTTTTTTAGCTGTTCCCTCCGTTACACTTTGCTAGTCTAATAGCAGTTATTTTGCATATTAATGCATTTGAGTTTGAAATAGTAATTTTTTTCTCACTGATTTTTGATTTGCAGTGTTCTGGACCTTCCATGGAACCAACCATTCAGAATTCTGACATTGTCTTTTCAGAGAACCTCAGTCGCCACTTCTATTGCATTCGCAAGTGAGTTCCTGTGTGCAGACCAGGGTTGTCAGTCACCACATTGCAGCTCTCTCTCAGTTTCAGTGAGGACACCAGAATGATCTAAATAACAAAGTGTCACTCCAAAATTTCCTTTAAAACTCTGTATAAAATCCTACCTTGAGTAAAACTGAACAAGCTGAAATCGTGAACAAGAATTTTCAGCAGAAGGAAATATTTTGAATGTTCCTGAATATTTTTGGAGTATACACATTGATGATTGTGTATTCAGCCAAATAGTTTGTACTTAGGATTCTGCTGTTTGTTTCTGTGTTTTTCCTCTCAGGGGAGACATTGTAATTGCGAAAAGCCCAAGTGACCCCAAATCAAATATCTGTAAGAGAGTCATTGGCTTGGAAGGAGATAAAGTCTGCACAAGTAACCCCTCAGATTTCCTTAAGAGTCACAGCTATGTAAGTATTAGAGTTTCTTGCTTTGTAGAGTCATGAGTACTCAAGTAGGCCTGGTGCTCTGTAAAGGATTTGCAATATTGGAGTATGATAAAGTATGAAATTCATAAATTCTTCTTCTTGTATGTGTACAGTAAAATGTCACTTCAGACTCTGTGCATGACAATCTGTCTTTCTCAGCACCTTTGGTCTCTGTAAGAGGTGTGGGCAGGTAATAGTTTTGCTCTGCCTCTTTTTAGGTTTTCTTCCCTGGAAGAATACTCTAAAATTCTGTGCATAAAGTGTTGGCAGACTCAAGGGTTTGGTCTTAGGGCAAAACTGTTGCTGTATTTTAGACACTAAAAAGTGAATTTTTGCCTCTGCAATAGCTTTGAGATTTTGCTTTCAAAATGATACTTCAATATAGCACTATGTTTCAATGGAACAATATTTTAATTTTCCTGAGTATGGTTGGAGAAGTAGTAATTTTCTTAACTTGTCTAAAAAGTCAGGTAACAAGATGAAGTGAAAAGGCAAAAGTATTCTTAACGCTCACTTGTCCTTGTGCAGACAGCCTTCACAGAAGTTTGGAAAGATCTGTGACAAAATGTTTTCAGCAACTTCTTTTTAGGCTATGGTTAGAAAAATCATTAGGAATGAAGACCACAGACAAATATTGTGGTTTTTTTTCTTGCCCCCAAAGCATGTTTAACCACTGCCTCTGTTAAACACCTTGTGGAGTCATCAGATGTGTTTTGACTCTTGAAAGAAACTATTACGTTGCCCTTCTGTATCCACTTCATCCATCTGATGGGACTTGTGATATGGCTGAAATATGAATTTCCCAGAGCAGACCAACCTGAATTGGAAACCTGAATTCTGTGTACACTGAGTTTCTCTGGACATCTTGGGCCTCACTTGTCTTAGTCTTGAAAAGGAAAGATTTGTACTGAACAGGATGTCAGTTTTTCTGGAGACCCTGAGGTAACCAAGTGAACATCCTGCAGAACAATTTCTGCCCTGGGTGCAACATTTCTTGTCTCCAGTTTTAAGCCAAAAGGTAAGGAGAAGGAATGGACAGGGAATGCAGAGTCCATTTCCTGTCTCCATAAAGGCTAATGCATGGAAATACAGCACAGTGACCTGAAAGCTTTGGTAATTCTTACATCATAAATTGTATCTAGTGGGGGAGATGATCTAAATGGAAATGCTTTTATTGTTACTGCCTGTTTTCCTCCTATCTTTAGTGGTTGTTGAGGAGTCAGCTCTTTCCATCTGTTCAGGAGACACTTTGCAGCAGAGCATATTCCCAACATAGATATCTCCATTTTATGTTCCTAACTTAGACTGGATTAGTCACCAGTTGTTACTGGGGAGGAGAAAAGTGATACACATCTGTGTCCAGGCAATTACCTAAACAGATTCCTGATTTTAGTGAATGCCTGTGCTGTGCACCTTTCATTAGACCCAAAACTCCTCACAGCAAGGGCAATTACCTAAACAGATTCCTGATTTAAGTGAATGCCTGTGCTATGCACCTTTCATTAGACCCACAACTCCTCACAGCAAATAGCAGCAGCACAGGGAACTGGTGTGTGGTTTGTTGATATTTGCCTGAGTTGGTGTCCCAAAAAAAAGGATTGTCCAAACTGAGGGAAAGCCTCAGCTAGGATTCTAAATGGGCAGAGGAGCTGCCAGGGAAAAGTACCTTTGCAGGCACTGCTGAAGTGAGCAAAGCCTAGAAATTGTCAGGAGTTTTGTGGTTCATTCATGAATATACTCCTCAGGATGTACAGGTAGGAGAATGGAGAACTTTGTGCACAATCTACTCTCTGTAAAATGACACAGATTAGATTGTTTATTTCTAGAACCAACCACGCAGATACCTATAGATTAAAAAAAACCCCTCCAAACATAACAAACCAACCTTCCAAGCCAGAATAAAAACTAAGCAGAAAAATCATACCTAAGTTGAACAAGTTGCTCTGAAAAGAGGCACTTCATCTGAACAGAAATGCAGTGTGGCAGTGGCAGTTGTGTCTTTAAGGTGGTATCAAAAATACTTCTGCTATGCTTAACTGAAGTATTACAGCACATGAGCAAACTGATTTTTATCAGAGCTGCACCAAAAACCTGCCTTGGATGGAGCTGTTGGATTAGAGCTGATGGAACTAATCCCACATAAAAAGCTGCTTGGTATAAATGAAACATGTGCTTAAATTACAAATTCAGCACAGGAGAAATGTCTTTTCTTTGGATTCTTTAGACATGATGCTCTATATGCTCAAGGTTGGAGCTCATTTATAGAACAATAATGAGGGGAATCTTCCTCTTCACATGGAAAGTATGAGGAGATTCCTTTCTGAGCAAGCTGCTCTAGTATGGCAGAGTTAGGGAAATGTAGAGCTTTTCATGGGTCTCTGGTGTGGAATATGAGCACCAGGCTGGCAGTCCTGGGTTTGTGCTAAATGTGCACTTAGAGCAGTATTTGCTGTAGGAAACATTTAAGTGTATTTTTACTGTATCTGGAGCAATGTGCTATGACCCCAAAAGTTAGAGAGGTAAACAACTCCTTGTTAGTAATGTGGTGTTCAGGCTTAGTTTCAGTTAGTAAAAAATATCCTTATTGGCTTATTCATTTAACTATAAGATCTAAATAACAAAGACAAATAAGGAAATTAACTATCCTTACTATTCATTTAACTATAAGATCTAAATATCAAAGACGAATAAGTAAGTCACAGTAAACCCCTGAAATGCTCTCTTAAAAAAAAAAAGGGCTGAAAGGTTGTTTCTCATATTTATAGGGTTTTTTTCCTGTTTTAAAAAGTCTTCATACAGATCCAGGTTTGTAATTCAGACTGAGTATCCTATTGTTATATTTGAATTTGTTATTCATTTAACTATAAGATCTAAATATCAAAGACGAATAAGTAAGTCACAGTAAACCCCTGAAATGCTCTCTTAAAAAAAAAAAGGGCTGAAAGGTTGTTTCTCATATTTATAGGGTTTTTTTCCTGTTTTAAAAAGTCTTCATACAGATCCAGGTTTGTAATTCAGACTGAGTATCCTATTGTTATATTTGAATTTGTTTTCATGCCATTTACTTTAGCTTTTAATTTCTTCAGTACCATATGTTCCTGTGCTGCAGCTCCTGTTTACAAACTGAAAAAGTGAGGGAGAAAACCATCAGATTAAACCAGTTTGTGTGCCATAAACCACCAATCTGCTGAGCCTCTGTGTCACTCCAACAAAAGTAGCCCCTAATAATGCCACTTAATACAGGCAGGGTCTGTAAATAAGGAACTGCCTTTTGCAAGTGGTGGTGATAAAAAGCTGAGATACAAAGCCATATCTCAGCAACACTCTGCTGTCATCAATCACAGATCAGCACTGATGCTGGCAGAGCAGCTGATGGGGAAGGGAAGTGTGTTTACCTTGGGCTAAAAGGAGCCTCATTGCAGAGATGGCAGCTCTGCATCCTGTGCTCAGCTCCAGAGCTAACAGTGCCCAAGGTAATGCATCTCCCAGTGTTTGCAGAGCAGAGGTTGGTGCTGTGCAGCACTGAACTCTCACACAGACCTTGGCAAAGGCAGTAAGATGTTAGTGGGGACCGAGAACGACATCACATTACTGCAAACAACACAGTGGCATCAGCACTGGACAGTTGTGCAGATTGTGGATGCACAGTGCACCACACTGCGAAGTGGTTTGATGTTTCAGGGTGCTCAGTACCATTGGAGAGGCTCTGAAAAATAGCCTCATTTAAAATGAACGTACAAAATTAGTTCTTTTTTCTGAAAAATAGCCTCATTTAAAATGAACTTACCAAAATTAGTTCTTTTTCCTGTGTTCTCAGTATCTCAACAGCTGACAGCCATGGTTTTGTGCATCAGTAAAGTGAGTTTTAAGAGTTGCCAGTCAGGAGAAAGGAAACACATTACTCATTCTTCTCCTTGGTTCTAGCATTCCAGAGGCTTTTTAATATGTGTTTTCAAACAAACTGGGCCAAGCACATTATGTCTTATTCATAAGCAGCTTGAACTGCTCAGTACGTAAAAGGAAAATGCCAAACTTTGGAAGTACCTGTGAATATAAGGTAAATTCATTCTGTCATAATCTTGTAAGAAGTATATTCCAGGTGATTCGGGTTCCTTAAGAGGTGATTCTTTCCCTCTACTCTGCTCTGGTGAGACCCACCTGGAATACTGCACACAGTTCTGGTGTCCTCAGCATAAGAAGGACATGGAACTGT